GGAGATAGCTCAGCAGAATAAGTGCTTGCCTGGCAAGCACAAGGTTCTGAGTTCAATCCCTGGTACTACCAAAAAAACCCTGAAAGTAACTTGAAGTTCAGACTTCCCTTATCTATGTGGGATATTAAAATTGGAAAATGAAATCTACCCTTACTTAGGTATAACCCAGGATGGCAGGGTCAGGACTCTTCTAGGTGACTGTTGAAGACAGGCCAGTGTCACCCAAGCACCCTTTAGGCCAGACTCGGGAGAACTAACCTCTAAGTAAAACCACAGAAAGCTCCCTGATGCTGTCATCTGAAATGGGCCCCAAATTCCCATTGCTGTTCTTCTTTCATAACTTTGTTTCTCCTCTTTGTGGCACTTAACCACATTTACCATCATGTGCTTTTGTTGGCATTTGTCTTCCTTGTGGAGTCTTAAACTTTAGGAGGCAAGACAGCACTGGCCACACCACCTCCCTGCCCCACACAAAGCCTGTATAGTGAAAGGCACAGTAAGTGAAACACTAGCCTTCCTGGTTTTTGTGTCTTGGCTTTCAATTGTGTTGATGTATGATGTTGCAATGGTGTGCAGCAGACCCCTTCCTCCTTTTCTCTTCTGCTTCCTGGCCATGGGATAAGCAGTTCTGCTCTGCCACAGACTTTGGCCACAGTGTGCCACCTCCACTCAAAGCAACTGACAGTGAACTGAAACCATGAGCCCAAAATACCTTTGCAATTTACCAATTGGTTATGTTGAGCATTGGTATCATAATAGAAAGTGGACAAACATATCCATTTGGACATTCTGGGTATATTTTAAAAATTCATCACTTTACATTTTTAATAGAAGAGCTTGTAGCTTGTAGGTTTTGTATCAGCATAATGAAGAATAGGAGTCCATACTCAGCCTAAGAAATTATAACTACAACAACCAAAACCATAAATTGTTCTTACCAGAGACCAGTAGTACTCTAAACCTTGAGTTTCCATTCATTTAACTCTTTGCAAATGAGAACAAGAGGGTGAGGAACTCGCCCAAGGCCAGCATGCAAGTTGAATGCTGCACCAGTGGACCAGCTCTGACTCTAACAGCTTAACCACCCCAGAAAATGGACTCTCTATAATGCTCACAGAAGCCAAATAAAAGTAAAAAGAAAAACCTGGATTAGCAAAATATGGGAGCAGCCAGCTGACAGCTGATGGAGAGGAGCAGAGCCAAAGGCGGCTGCTTCACTCTGGACCAAGAAGGAAACATCCTAATCCACATGGTGCAGCTCCTCCTTCACCCTCCTACAGGAGGAGAGCGGCCCCTGTCAAGGAGGGCCAGTTGTGGCAGGGCCAGTCTCTGTTGATGGAATTTACCCACCCAAGTGTGGGAAGAAGTTGTGCTAGGCAAGGCGCTTCCTTCTCTCTGGCCCTGGGATCTATGAAATGCAGAGACCAACAGGGATTGAACTCAAGACCTTGTGCTTGCTTGGCAAGAGCTTATTCTACTGAGCTATCTCCCCAGCCCTCTCCTCTCTTCTTGAAACCAACTTAGCTTCAAGATTAGATGCTCTGAGTGGACATTGGGTTTCATGGTCTCATGGGGTTTCCATCTCCTCCCAGGAACTTCTCCAACATCTGACATAATTCCTGTCTTACTGCCTCTTCAGGCCAGGGACTCTCATGTTCCTCTGTGGAAAGGCTCCATCCAGCCCCAAAATGGAAAGTTTTGGTGACATAGTGAACATCTAAGATGCCCCTCCTTCACCCTCCAAAGAACCCAAAATTCACAGGGGATACAACACAGAGAGAATAAAAGATCCATGATAGGACCCATCTTTGTAAAGACCCAAGTAATTATTTTCCTTTTTATTTAACAAACACTCAGTACACAATAATTCACACAGATTAATTCTCATAGCAACACTAGAAAGTACGCACTGTTATTAGCTCCATTTTACAGAAGAGAAAGCTGAGGCATGAGGAGACCACTAAAAATATCAAAAGTCTTCTAGCTGGTAAATGTAAGTCAGAACTTAACCCTGCAGTCTCCTCAAGCTGCCCTCCTCTTACTCACACCTCTGTGCTCATCTCAGTGCATTTTCATCTGACTCACCTGCATGTTGATGTTTGGGAGCAGATACCAGGTATAGCAGCCACTCTCGTGCAGACTGCATTCTATCTCTATTTTTGAATACAGGCCTGCCACTAGCTGTGTGGCCTCAGACCCTGAGACTCATGATCTATAAACCAAAATCCAGTCAGAGACCTGAGATCTACCTGCCTCCACCCAAGAACTGGCTTGCACCCTGGAACTTACAGATGCGGAAGTACTCCTCTCCGTAGCTCTCTCGGGTCTCCTGAGGCAGCCGCTCCCACAGCTTTTCCATTCTTTTATCAAGGGACTCTTTGCCCAGAATGGATGTCTTGTAGTTCCCTGGCTCAATGATGCTGACCTTCACCCCAAAGTAGTGCATCTCATGCCTAGGAAAAGAAGAGTTATACTTTGGTCTAGGCCTCAAGATGACAATGTCAAGGACAGCCACTTCAGGAGGGAACTATCTTTCTCTGGGAACCTAGAGGCACACCCCCTAAACCCTGGCAGCTGGCCCAGGCATTGTCTTTATACAAACAAATTCTTCCCAAGGACCTCAGCCCTTTATCAAGCAAATCCAGCAATCTCTGGACAATTTGCATTTAGGCAGATGCAGCAGGAAGTCAGTGGAGAATCTAGGCCAAGATCTTCCTCCTACCAGGCATCTCCTAAATTAAGCCCCAGGCCCTGCACCCACACAACAGAAGCAGTGATAGTATCTATACAAAGCCAACCAGTGGGCTTCTCTGAGGGTCTTCCCAGGAACACCTTTCTCCCCAGTCCTCTGTGTCTGTTTTGGGAACTCTTTCTTATTCCTACAGGCCCACATAGTGTTGCCTTCATTATGGGACGTGTTAGGGCAGTCCTCTTGGCTGTTCCCTATGTCTGTCCCACTTACTTCTTTACTTCTCTCTTTCTCTTTATGGTTGGGGAAGGCTTGCCGCTGGTATCCCTCCTGCCTCCTGCAGCTCCTTTAACTTTCCTGTTCCACAATACTCCTGCACACATGCTGGGAATCCGCCCTCTCTCTCTAAGTTAAAACCCCTGGATCCCCACCTACAATAGTTTGGTCCCAGGACCCAGTCACCTGATGCTGTCAGAGAAGGCCTCAACACCAAACTTGGAGACGCAGTAGCCGCCACCAATGACAGCCACACGACCACCAGAGCTGGACATGTTGACCACCCTGCCCCGGGCTTTCTTGATCATAGGCAGCATGTGGAGGGTCACATCGATCGTTCCCACCAGGTTCACATTGATCACTTTTACAAAGTCCTCCTTGGTCAGCCATTCATTGGGACCACTGGGAAGGGCCACACCAGCATTGTTCACCAGGGCCCAAAGGCCTGAGGATGAGATTGAGGGAGAGAGAAACACAATGTAATCAGCAGTATCTCTGGGAAAAAAAAAAAAAAAACCTTGGACAATAGCCCACCAGGTTAGTGAGGCTGGCTGAGCTGGTATGCTAGACACAAGACAGCATGGCTTGGGTGAGGCAGCTACAATAGCATGGTATGCTGATAATGACTAGTGTTACCTACTAATGGGGCACCTTTCCTGATTCAGTTAGTTGGGACTCTGTACCAGCTATAATTGAGGCAGCATGTAGCTACAACCACTTAAGTTGCTAGCTCTAAGAAAAGAGAGAACCTTTTCTTAACAAAGGATTAATTTTTATTTCCCTGACCAATCATGCTTCCTTCTTGTATTCACTTAAGTATAAGAAGTCAACTCCATTTCACCTGTTACTAAAGTCAATTCATTTAACCATTTATCCATTCACACATTCTTTTATTCATTCACACATACCCTGCCAATTACAGGGCAAAGGAGATATGAAATGAACAAGAAGGATCTTATCCTTCTAAGTGCTCACAGACAAGATAAAATATTATTCATAAATAGAGGTATAAGACACATAAATAAAATGCTTATGGGAAAAGTGAAGAAAACTCTCCTGTTGGGTTGGCCTGATAGAGATGGGGAACAATAATGCTAAGTATGATCATTCACATCTGCAGGGGATCAAGAGCCTCAAGTCCTAGGCCAAGCTCTAGCTCCAGCCTTAGACAGACCCCTTCCCACACTGGGCCTCAGATTCTTCATCAGACTCAACCATGGCAGGTGTTTCTAACCTGTGCCTCAAGCCTGCTAGTGAAGAGGCTTTCATTTGTTTTACATATTGAGCTTCCAAGTACAACTTCCCCGAGAAAGCTGACCCTCAGTGACCTCTCCTCGCTCTTTCATCCAAGGATCCCATGAATCCCACCTACTGATTCTGTCCCTTCCTCATTCCCATTGCACTGCCCATCTTGGCCAACAGAGCCTCAAGGCACCCTGCTGGCACACTCACCTCTCTCGGTGGGCAGGTCTGCATGCAAAATGCAATTCTGGTCCACCTATCCCTGACATCCCTGCCAGGCCAAGTCCCCTGTTTTCCAGCCTTCCTCCTGTTAGACAGACTCCCAGAGACTAACTAGTGGACAGATCTTAGAACTAATCCACCTAAGGGGATGCTCTTGCCTTACAGAGGAGAAAAATGAGGTTTCTGAGATCTCAAATCATAAAATTCCAGCGGTCTCTGCCTGTGGGGAAGGAACACAGCACCACTGCCAGTGACCACCCTGACAAAGAACTACAGCAGAGAATGTACTACCTCTTGGGGAAGGAAGAGAGCTTTTCTGTTTTCCCCTTGCAAAGAGTAACCACAGAAGAACAAGAGCAGGCCTAACAGCTTGAGGGCTATGCCAATCTCATGTCCAGGGACTTGCAGAGACAACATGAAAGCATGCAATAATTGTCTACCATTTCCCCACCAACAGTTTCCAGGGCTTCTTAGAACAACGATGTTGCTCAGTGGCTTAGACAAAATAATAGTCTCCCAAAATATCACCACTTTAAGGCCTGGAACCTGTATTAAGTAGGGCTACTTGAGAAAAGGAGGATATGATTCCCAGTTGAATTAACATCAATCATCAGTAGACCTTAAAATGGGGAGATTCTACAGGACCCACATGTACATATAATTACAAGGCTTCATCTAACAGGAAGAAGGCAAAAACTAGACAAGCAAAGAGACAGGAAGAGTGTAAAGAAGACACAGTCCATCTTTGTGGGTCTCCAATGTGGAGAAAATGGGCCATGTGCCAAAAATGCTCCCATCCCCAGACCTTAAAGAAGGTAAAGAAATAGACTCTTCCCTGGGGATCTCAGAAAGAAATCCTCTCTATGGAGACATTCATATTAGCTTGAAGAGGCACATGTTGGCCTTTGCTCTGCTATAATTGCAAAAAAAATATGTCATTAAGCTACTACATTTGAGTATCTTTGTTACAGCAGCAACAGTATATTGGAGGAGTCATGAACTCCATGGGCTTGAGGTTGGATGTAGGTAAGTGGGTGAAGCACAGTGATGGAGAGAGAGGTTCAGCGCTACTAATTTATTCACTAATTAGTTTATTCAACAAATATTTCTTAAGCACTCTCCTAGGTACCAGACACTACTCTAGGTGTTCAGGATACAAGAGACAAAAGCAAAAGAAGCCAGCCTGTTCCCAGGAAGCCTTATTCCAGCAGAGCAAACAGATAATAAACAAATACAATGTATTGTGCACTGGATAGGGATAAATGCTAAGGAGAGAAGTAAAATAAGGAGCTTGTGTCTGGCTCCTCCTGGGACCCAAGCTCATTATCCCTCCTGGGCCGAGGCCCAGCCTCATTTCTTTGGGATGAGGCCTTTCCCAGACTACTGCTTCCTGCACAACCACACTACCCTGTGCCTCTCGGGCCTGTGCCTATACGCTGCATGCCACAATGTTCCTGCGCAAATCCTACATACTCTTGGTGTGGTCTCAATCCCACAAGTTCTTTTCCCATTTGGAGCAGCCACTCTGAAGTAGTCCCCAACTTCTAAGACACCTGCCCTTCTACTGTATGACAAAAGGACAGCAAATCCCACACATGGAAACCAGTCTCTTGCCCCTTGGTCCTGCACTAGGACTTGTACAGGACTAATGGTAGCACCACTGAACTCTCTGAGAGGTCTCTCCATCCTTCAAGGTTTGGACAAACAGAACACATCTTCCCTTCCTTACCGCTTATCCAGACTTGTGCCTTGTCACTCTTTAATTCTGGGAGAGAAACTCCTTAGAAAACCACCAAGGACAGGCCCAGGCCAAACCATTGAGAGACTTGCAAACTAGCCAAACCAGCACCTTGTAGCCCTGTTCCTTTCATATCACCTCTCCCACCTATTTGGACAGCCGGGTCCCTGAGACTGTTAGAGACTGAGAGTAAGAAAAGTGAGAGCCAAAGAATGCAGTTTGCCCTACCTTGGTCGCCCACTTGGTCCCTCACCCACTGGGCTGCAGCCTTGACGCTCTCAGTCTTGGTGATGTCCAGTAAGATGGTCTGCAGCCTGTAGGATGTCTCCTGCTGAAGTTTCTGAGCCCCTTCCTCAGTAAGGCAAGCAGCCAGCACTCTCATGCCTCTTTCAACCAGCTGTCTGGCCAGCACATTCCCAAAGCCAGAGTCACAGCCTGTAATGAAGACATACTTCTCTGAAAGGTTGCGAACCAGGTTACAGTTCTTAAACCAGCGGTACATAAAACCTAAGTCTGTGATTGCTGCCATTTGGCCGAGTGGCCAAGAAGGATGAGCCTCAGGAGCATCAAGAGAAGCTGGCCCGCAGAGTCCAGCTGGCTGTCCTCTGAAGCACACAAGGAAAGAAAACTTCCACTTGTTGCCACAGATTCAGAGCCCTTGAGTGAGCCACCCTGTAATTTTTATAGGTGGATACGTTACAGCAATTAACCTACTTGCAAGAAATTCAAGTCCAACCTGAAGATTTGTCACCTCTTCAAGCACTGATGACTCTCTCTCTCTCTCTCTCTCTCCCTGGATATGTACTGGTGCCAAAAATAGGAAAGCTCCAGTGTCAGTGGGGGTGTCAAGAGTCTGTTCTCCTGGGTCCTATACACAAGATAAATGAGAAAGGACTCAGCCTAGACAGCCAAGTGGGAAAAACCCTCACAACCTCACTCCAGCCTTGAGATTGAAATCATCCGTCATAAGTGCAGGCATATAAATAAATATAATTTTTATTTTTAAGGAACCAATAAAACTAACTCATAAATGCAAAAGAATCAATAATTGATCTGTGCCCTCCCAAGCAAAAGAGTAATAAAGTTCCTGTCCTCAGCTCTTCAGAATTCTCACGTGGGTCTCCATCATGAGAGAGGATAAGAAACAAAGGGTTACCATGGAGGGGCTGTCTCCATTGTCCTGACTCAGGAGACAGGGGGACCCTCCTGAGAGGGAGGCTACAGTTTGAAGCTCTGACTTCCAGGAAGTAGAAATGAGCAAGGCACTCAAGGCTTCTTGGGGGTCAGTAGAGAAATTTCCCCAGTGCACTTCAATTCAGCCTACCATTCCACCTACCTCCATCCCTGGTGACCAGGCCAGTGGAGGAAGCAAAGGACTAAGAGCACACAGCTCCCCAGGCTAAGAACTGAGGAAGCTGTCTCCCTTGCACCCAGGATCAGGCACATTATAGAGAGTCTGATGAGCTGAGGAGCCAGGATGTATGATGATGATAGCAAAAGGAGGAAAATATGGAACTAGGAAGCTCATCAGTGACTGACTGGGTGTGCAGAGGGTAGGCACGCTAAGCGTCAAAGTGACTCAAAGATATGGGCCATTGTAATGACAGAGAGAGCCACAGGTAACAAGAGAAGTCAGGTAAGACCTGACAAGGCTGGGATCAGCTAGGTCCGATGTGGCCATCACAGTGAAGGATGTCCATCCAGCCAGTGAGGCTGGATGATGAGATCACTGGACAGAGGAGCAAGAGCCTAGACAAAGTCCTTGCTCTGAGAAGCATGAGGCATAGGAGAGCAGAGGCTGCTCCAGCAGAGGGCCAAGACCTGGAAATGTCAAAGGCAGGACTTGGAAGGAAAGAACAGATTCTGGGCAGTGGAACAGAGAATTCACAGAAAAGTAGAATGGAAGCTGATCAAGCAAATAATGAAACCAGACACATGTGAGACACAGAGCCCACAACTGGAATTGCATAAGGCACAGAGGCAGAACAATAGAAGGGCCTAGGTGGCACCTTCCCTCGACCTCCACATACACCACCATTCCTCAGTACAAGTCTGATCACCAGGCCACACTGTCTTCCTTCTTCAGAGGCTGTGGCACCAAGTTCCCTAGAGGGAAGCAACAAAGGCTTCATCTCTGTGTTCTACTACTTACCAACTCTGGCTAGCCCCAGAATCAGATAAAGCAAGTTGTCATGGGTCAACTGAATTTTGTGCTGTAACTATGAAAAACTGTTAGGTTCCCTAATGCTTCCTGTTATCTACTCTAAGGAATGTGTTCTCACCCTCTGTTTAAGGCTGTTTAGTAATGAGTAACTGTCTCCCTAATCTAATTCCTGTAAACAAAGTTTGCTTACAGAGATGACTTCAAAAGGGAACTAAATGGCCTTAACTCCTTGTAACCTTGGACTATGCAAGGCTGCGTGTACTCAGGTGCAAAATAGCCAGGAACTAAACAATGTCCCCAGAAAATTTAGGCTGAGTAATGATCACACTGACCCTGAAAGCATTATTTTGTGTCAGATGATAAATTTGCTTGCAAAACTGGATATGGTTCCATGTTTTAAACCCCCCCTGCTTCCTGGGCTAGCTGCTGGCTATACAGTCTTCTCCTGAGGTGAGAGATGATGGGCGGCTCTGGGCTCAGTAATAAACGGCTCTTTTAAAATTCCAATACGGCTTCTAATCTGGTTTCTACACTGAGTGATCCATAGCACAAGTGTCACCTGAGAAGAGCCCAGTATGGCTTAGCCCTTTTGTACCAACAGTAGTGGAAGGTAGTAGGTACAGGACTCTCCCTTTCAAAGGGCAGATCCCAAGCTCATAGTGATGAGGTGAGGTATGGTAGAAGGTGAGCCTACCGCACTTTACATGTTTCCCAAGGCACTGCACACTCTATGCTGTACTGAAAACACCCCATGGTCTTTATTGGCTCTTGAGTGAGTAACTAGGAATTCATGCTTCAGGGAGCACAGACAATGACCCACAAGGGCTGAGCAGACCCAGGGACAGTGTATGTCCCAGTTCATGAGGACATAGGTGCAATTCCTGAAGTTTCACGAGGTTTTTTGTTTTGTTTGGTTGGTTTGGATTTTAGAAATGATCTCACTATGTAGTTCATAGTATCCAACTTGTTGTGATCCTCATGCCTCAGAATCCAGGTGCTGAAATTACAGGCATGTACCACCAAGCCTGGCTCCTGAAAGTTTCATGGAACAATCAGTGGAGATGAGCTTGAGTGAGACTCACCTGGAGGCACTGAGCAGAAGAGAAGTCCTTATAAGCACCTGTTGCTGTAGGCAGCCAAGTTAGATAGAAATATTATAGTCAGTCAGACAGGGCCAGGCCCTCAAGGAGATAAGATGAAAGACAAAGTGACTTGGCGACTTGGAAGAGACAGACACTCCCATATGGGCCACACCTCAAGACAAAAGAGGAAACATACAGCTACATACTTCCCTAGGGATGGGCATCAGGGATTGGTATTCTACATAGGTATCAATCACCTTGAAAGAGCCCAAATGAGTCACTAACCCAATCCCCAACAGGAAGAGACCCTATCCCAGTACTCATGCCCACTTGCTATGTGACTGGCTTCCTCTTTTGGTACTGGATTTAATCAATTTTACCTGAGCAATGATGTTTGTAATCTCATTGGTTGACAATAGTTTTGTCCTACCTCATGCCCACCTAAGCAAGTTCCCATGTATTCTCCACCACCTTAGACCCACCTCACCACATTGTTTTCCTCTATAAAAGTCCCTGGAAGAGACAGCTTCCCGGGGACAACCCTCTCAGGCCCTCCTCCTGTCCCTCTCTCGGGACAGACGCTTTCTTTCCCTCAATAAATATACTGTGCTCATGACCTCCATTTGTTCCTAAAATTCATTCTTTGGTTTTAGAGAACATGAATTCACCCCAGGTACCTTTTAGGTTGGGAGATCATTTTTCTCCCTGTATCATTTGGAGGTCATCAACCTGACATCATTTTTTGTTCCATGTCACTGTAACTGACACTCTCACACCCCCAGTGATCTCCCTTTCAAAGGGTAGATCCTCTTAGAGTTAGGGGAACCAGCTCAAACACATGTTGACCACTCTTTCTAGCATCAGAAGGACAAGACACATTCCTCCATCTCTGAGCAGGATGAGGCTTGTGCAGAAGGGGAGACAAGAACTGGAAAGGACAGAAAGTAGGCGTGCACTGAGTACACCACTGCCCAACCCTACTGACAGGAAGCCCTACTCAGTCTAGGTAAGAACCAGAAACGAAAGAACAACCTTGTGAACACCTACTCCACCAGGCTATAAAGAAGGTCAGTGATTTTTAATTTTACTTCAGCATGTTTTCTGTGTATGAGTGTGCTTCCAGGGGGGTAGGGGGCACTGTGTGTGTGTGTGTGTATGTGTGTGTGTGTGTGTACGTGTGTGTGTGCATGTGTGCACGTAAAGACAGCTATAAAATTCAGGAGACTTAGTGCTAATGTGAAGCTATTTCTCTGCTCTTTGAATGAGCTGCTATGAAACATTCATAGATTGGGCTGTCCCCAAAGATTCTTCTTGGCCATTCTTTTTTCTTCAAGCTCACAGACCTGACTCAAAACTCCATATGAGGTTTCAATGAATGGCCTTCAAAACATTATCTAGAATTCAATTAATATGTACTGTACATTTCATCAAGGTATGTTGGTGCAAACATATAATCTTAGCTATTTAGGAGGCTAAGGCACCTTGAAAGTCAGCCTGGGCCACTTGGTAAGACCTTATGTTAAAAATAAAATACAGGTGAGATGGCTCAGTGGTCTAAAGCACCTACTTAGAACAAACTTAGCAAAGCACAGGGACCACGGTTCAATCCCCCAGCACCACATGCCAGCCAACCCCACCCCCTGGTGGGCTGAGCTGGCCACACACACACACACACACACACACACAAAAAAATAAATAATTTAAAATAAATAAATAAATAAAATACAAAACACCAGGTATGTAGCTTACTGGTAGAACTTCTGCTTAACATGCAAGGGGCCCTGGATTCCATATGCAAAGTAAAAATTGCAACCTCAGTATTTCTAAGTACCAGTCAAAAATGAAATGAATGGCTCTGCAACAGGGCCATAAGTTCCTATTTTGACAATGCACTCTGGTCATTTTTCAAATATACATGTTCCCTAAAGGCTTCATATCTTAAAACTTTATATTGAAAAAAAAAAGCTAAGACAATGGGGAGCTACCTCTCAACTCCAGTGTGTACTTGCCTGAGGAATCTCTGTGGCTTTCTGCATACATATACTCAGCTCGGCCTGGACTTTTTTTTTTTTTTTTTTTTTTTTTTGCTTGTTTGGTTTTCAGAGATCTTTTTTTTTTAATTTTTTTATTGATAAATATGAAGGAGACAGTTTCACAGTTGATTAACAGGACACTTTTGGTAATTAATACACTGTGCATTATTATCTTCTCAGTGGTTATCCATAGTACAAGAAGCAGACAGGATATTCTGTCCAAACACTGTTAGTATACCTCTTTCTTCTC